GACTCAGGTTGCTCCACTGTTTCAGTTCTTTCAGATTTAACTGCCTCCTTTATCACAGTTGTTTACAACAACCTTTTGTAAACACTTGGACATTTTATTCTGTCGTGGTTTTATTTGTCACAGAGGTCTTCTTCAGTATTTATGGAGAAAACTCTTCTTCCCCAGACCCTTTTTGTTCTGGTGTAACTCAAGGGTCTGTGTTCAGTCCTGCTTTGCTTTCATTGCATGTGTTGTCTTTGAGATTGATTTTCAGGAATTATATTATTGCCTTTCATTGTTAKGCTGATGACATCTGAATTTATCTCTCCTTCAAACTGGGTGTCTCTGCTCCACTGCAGCCTCTGTTTAACCCTTTATAAGATGTCAGAAACAGTTTAAAAAACAGAATTTTCTTATCTAAAATGAAAAATAAGACTAAAATCATTCAAACATGAATTTGTCTGCTCACCTGCTCCTTCTTTTTTAGTCTCTGGGAGACGGTGCCTATATCCAGCAATCAACTGAATGTAKTGTATCATTCAAATCAAATCAAATAATTATAATTTACTTGCAGAATCAAGTAACCACAGTTGTCAGAACCAGTTTTTATCAGTTATATCAAATTGCCAAAGCAAAATTTTCTATAAAAGACCTTTTTCCATGCCTTCATCACCTATAGATCCGACTGCTTCAACTCATGTATCCATTTTTAAAGTTTAAAGGAGCCACAGAAYGATGTTGGCTAACTGTTGTGCTGGGTTCCTGCAGGCCCAGGCCCCTTTCCCGCCATGCTGGATCTGTGGGGAATGGGTGGAGGACTGCAAGAGTACCGCTCCTCTCTGCTTGCATCAAGAGGCTTCGTTAGTCTTTCTCTTTCTTATTTCAGGCACAAAGATTTACCTGGTCCACCTAATCGTGTCAATGTTGGAGATTCATATTACAAAGTGCGTAAAGTTCAACAATGATTTCATTTGGTGCTTTACTTGAAAATGTTTTTTTAATCATCACATGTTCTATTTTAAAGGCAGCGTTCCAGCTGCTTCAGAATCACCSTCAGGTGGTCTCAGACAGAGTCGGGATCATCGGCCTCTCCTTCGGATGCTATTTGACGCTTCGCATCGGGGCTCAACTTGGAGTTAAAGTCGGTGATAGAGCTTCCTGTCTGGTTTTATTATTGCTCTATAGAACAAACAACATAAGTAATAATTAGGGGTGCAACAATACATGCATTGAATTGTTTAATACAATGCTCTGGGTTCAATACGCACTATGTATCGAACAATGCAGATCTTTAAAATCTATTTTATCAGTTTGTCTTCTGAAGGTGCTCTGTGTTGAAGGCTCAGTGGATCTGTGTTCGACTACTCCACCTTGGCTGCATTGTCGAGCACAGATCCACTGAGAAACTTACTGTTTTCAGCAACATTCATTTATTTATTTAAAAAGGACAATGCACATTAATCAATATTCTGTGAATATAAAGCGCCAGAATTAGCACAACAGCTAAATTTCATCTGTAGTCCTGAGCAGATAAAAAGGTAACAGTTCATGAAACGTGCACAAAACAGACAAAATTCAACACTGCCCAACAAACACACAAACTCTTCAACATTTAATTTAAGAACTGTACTTTGAGGTTAAACAAATGTTCTTTATTAATTTCAATAATTTACAAGTTTACAAGGAAATTTCTTCTGTTTTGTATTTTAAAAATATCGAACCGACATTAAAATATCGAACCAAACCAAATCATGAATTTTCTGTATCGTTGCACCCGTACTAAAAATGTATATTCACTGAAATTTTTATATTCCAACAACTTGTTCTCCTCTTCAGCCTTCCTGTTTGGTTTGTATTAACGGCCCTGTTGGAAGTACGGCAGCATTTTCCGATTTAGAGGACATGACTGAAGAGTTTGGCAGGTAAATGATTAGTTAGACATCGAGTGCAGTAATCATCTGTCAGCCACCGAGACCATTAATGCTGAGATAAAACAGTGATGTTTCAGTCTGTTTCCTCATTTTTTGTGGAAGACAGAATCAGTCTGGTTTTTCTTTTTTTATGTTGTTAGATCACTTCTTTCTACAGACCTCACCAGAACTGCAGCTCAGTGTTGGCGTTTAGTACAATTCGCACATAGAGATTTTGGGCTCTCTTAGTGTTTAGRTGTATTATTTACTGTTAAAGACATTATCCCTGGTTCATTCCATTTTGTTGTAATCAACAAATGATTGGGTTTATCCACTCCTTTTTATTTTAGCTCCAACAAACTTTGCAAATATGATGATCGAGGTTATATCATTTTCAAAGATCTCTCCTTRCCTGCTAATCTTCCCCCTGAGACCATCGTCAAGGTAAGACTTTAACCAGCTGCTGTTAAAACATCACATAGGATGAAAACAAATTTGTTGTATTGATGGACCATCTACATCCTCTCACATCTCACATCAACATTATTGCTTTGTTTTCGCTGGTGGGCATTTAAAGTTCTTCTCAGTGACATTTTTTGTGTTTCTGCAGTTGGAGAACATCGACTGTCCTCTRATGTACATAGTGGGTGAAGATGATTTGAGTGCATCAAGCTCTGAGAGCGCAGACATGGTAAAAATTTATAWTTTTTCATTACAACTTGTTTATTTAATTTTATTAAGCTAGATAATGCAGTTTATAGTTTTTAATATCTAAAGGAAACATCTTAATG